AAAGCTTTTGAAAATTTCAAAATTTTTCGAAATTAAAAAAAAATATTTTTTTGTCATTCGAATACTTTGAGACACTACATCAATTAGCATTATCTTGCATAAAAAACAAGTTTTAACTCATTTTCAAACTTAAATCCAGTTTGGAACTAAAATTTTAGTTTTTGAAACTATAAAATTTCTTTCGAATATGGCAAATAAATAATATTTCTACTCAATATGCCTCTTTCGGCCACAAAACTTAATAATAATAACATATAGTTGGTTAAAAACCGCTTTCCATGCATACATGCATTTTAACTGAAAATACAGTTTTTTATTCTAAATTCTAATATTTTGGGAACTTCGAAACTAAATATTCCAGATGTTTATGGCCTCTGAGACCGCAATAAATATATGTAAAAGTCTAAAGTTTACTAAATACGCATTTATTACTCATTTCAAACAGAAAATAGTTTTCGAAAATTCGAATTTTTTTTTTCAATCCGAAAATTCTACCTATTTAGCGCCGCATGCGACCGCAAAAATTAGTACAAAAGCATTTAAGTGGTCAAAAATCGTTAGCTAAAACAAATTTGGCATTTGTTTTGAACTTAAAAAATGTGGTTTTGGAAAATGTTTAAATTTTTTTTTGGCAATTTCGAAAAAAAAAAATTTAGTAACTTAGCGCCACGTGCGACTACAAAATAATTTGTGAAGCTATTAAAGGCCAATTGGGGCAAAAGCAGTAAATCGGCCGAAAACCGCATAATAAACTTGTTTTGATATAAAATACCTATTCTTGAAAATTTGAAAACCGCATAATAAACTTGTTTTGATATAAAATACCTATTCTTGAAAATTTCGAAATTTTGTATGAATTCCTGGAAATAGATTTTAGTTGACTCATCGGCAATGTGACCACAACAATACTTATAAACACATTATGTTGGCTAACTAACAAGTGAATTGCAAATATATTTTGTACTGAAAATGCAAGATTTGAAATTTTCGAAATTTTGAAAATGCCATTATTGGGTCATGATTCATAAAAATAGAAACAGTTGGGCTTTCGGCACAAAAATATCAGCATTTTTTTAAAGTGTTGTATAAAAATTAAAAAATTTGATTTTCGAAATTTTGAAAATTCTAAGAAGGTTTCATAACTCATGAAAATTGAAAAATTTGGCCAACTAGGATTTTTGTTTTTAAAATTTTGTATTAGACGTAACTGTTAAAAAATTTGATTTTCGAAAATTTTGAAAACTCGACGACAGGGTCATTACTCGTAAACAATAGAAAAATTTGGCTTTTCAGCACAAAAATATCATAATTTGAGTTTGTTTAAGAACTAAAGGTTAACAAATTTGATTTTCKACAATTGTTCGAAAACCTTTTTTTCAAAGTTTTGGCCTATCAGAATTTTTTTAAATAATTTTGTATAAGAATTAAAATTTTATTTTCGAAAATTTCACGAAGGGGTCATTACTCATAAAACAAAGAAAAAGTTTGCATTTCAGCGCAAAAATATAATAATTTGAGTTTGTATGAGAATTAACGGTTAAAAAAATTGGTTTTCGAAAATTATTCGAAAAATTTTTTTCGAAGTTTTTCAAAAAGAGAAAAGTTTTTCTTTCGGGACAAAAATATTAGAATTTTTAAAAAAAATTTATACAAAACTCAACGGTTAAAAATATTGATTTTCGAAAATTATTCAAAAAATATTTCAAAAATGATTGAAATTTACTACAAATGGCTTGGGCAAATGACTACCGATAATGAATCAATTACGCGGTACTTTAACGCTTTGCTAAAATACCGTTAACAGTGCTGGAATCAACCATTGATGACTTTAATGAATTTTTAGGCGTATGAAAAGCAAAGTTATTACACCCCAGAGGACCACAAAAAAGCACATAAATTCGAATAAAAGCGCAATAAAATTGGAACAAATGACAGACTTCGAAGAGCAAATAGAAAGAAATGATGAAAAAGAAGAAAAAAAATAGGGTCGTAAGATATAAAAACATATATTTCTTCAAAAGACAAAGCAAAGTGAAATATCAAATTCAAGGACTACTTCGCCTTCAGCCTAATATCCGCTAAATGCCACATAACAGCCAAGACAAACGAACGCTTATCGCCAGCAACCAGTCTCATTTTTTTTTTTTTTTTTTTGCATGTGTCTCGATGATAACCGAAAATAATGAAAAAAAAGGATGCGGCTTAGTCGACAGGCGCAAGCGAAGAATAAGTAAAGAAAATCCACTGTCTTTAAGGGTGCAACAAAGTACCGCTATACGCACACAATACACGCCGAACGCCTTTAAGCGCCTTAAACTGGCTGGCAATGCCATAGCGCAAGTGGTGCCGCCTTTGACGCGTGGCTACGCATAAGTAAGAACCATAAGCACCTACATGTATGCTACAAAAAAAGCTGCAGAAATGCCGCTGAGTGTAAATATGTAGTGGCCATGACAGAAAAGCACGCGCTACGCCTACAAACTGCCCACCCAACTAAATGTATGCGTACGTGCCTCWAACGCGGCATATCCATAACAAGATGCGGATCTTAACAACCGCCCATGTGTAGATTAGATGGCATACTTTTAGGCGCGCACACAAACCGTCACCGAGTGCGCCTAAAGGTATGCTAGACAAGCAAAATATAAAAAAAATAAAAATTTAGAAGGAGCAGAGGAAGCAAAAATTAAACGATTGCTCTTCAACACGACGCGACACGACAACAGCGAACAGTTAACGACACTGAGCGCGCCGCCGAATAGCAGTGAGTGAGTGAGTGTGCATTGGATTTTGAGTGTAAACTTTAAGCGAGTAAAATGTGATCACACTCAGCAGCATCCCTCGCTACCAAGCATGCTGTACGATGTTGCAACAACTAAAAGTATGCAACAGTCGGTTTTCAACATAGCTTTGTAGCATATAGAACACGTAGACGCTCACACATAGACATACACACTCATTTCTTAAGAGGCAAAACGTCAAATTAAGAGCATTCGCTAAGACATTAACGAGCACGGAGAAGCACCTACTTGAGTGCTGCCATAGCATTGGGCAAGGAATATGAAACCAGACCGCACCGACAGATACATGCTGGCTGTGGCACAAGATAAAGTATGTATAAAAAGATTATGCTCGTTAGGCGCATTTAAGTTGAACCGGAGGCATTTACGATACGCTCTGCATGGCTRTGCGCCTAAAAGTGTACTATACATACAATTATTTATATATACATTGACATRCATACATTTGTGTATAAATATATATGCGTTTTGCTGTGAATTTCGCCATATGCGTTGTTGCTCAGCATAATATGGCATATGTTTGTTGTGAGAGCATTGCATACTTGTTGGCGCGCTGGCTTCGAGTGCGCACTAATGCTTACACATATACAGAAAGCAATGCATAGCGTGGCGTGTGGCCATTACTTGGTGATTTTGTGACTGTTTCAGGGTGCTGCCAGCTTGTTGCGAAAATTGTGTTGAACATAAAAATTACGATAACACAAAAACAAGACATAACGGTATTTTCAACATACTTTGTATGCTTTTAGACGCATTTAGTGAAAAGAAATTTTTTTAATTTGCAAGTAAGTTTAACCACTTTTAACTTTTTTTTGCTTATTTCCTTGAAGCAAGCATACATTTAGGCGCAGCTGGCCATAAGTTGGTGATTTTGTAGAGTTTGAAAGTGCTGCCTGCTTGTTGTGAAAATATGTTATATAGAAATTAGCAAAATGCAAAAGTAAAAAATAACGATATTTTAATATACTTTGTATACTTTTAGGCGCATTTGGTAAAATAAATTTTTATTTAAATTAAAAAATTTTAGCAGCATTTAAACGTAGAAGTATACGTATTTATACYATTTATTGTAATTGTAGCAAGCATACATTTAGGCGCAGCTGCTAAAGTAAAACCGCTTTCG